TAAGCGTAATTGCTTCTAATTTTACGCGCGTTTATCAAAATTGTTGTCGGCCCGTTATTCTTTTTATCGCACAAAGAGAAAAGCAAATTGTTCGATGCAATTGCATATGCAATCAATAGCAAAATTCATACGTTACGGAACTTTGATCGATAATTTTGTTTTAGTAAGTATCGAAAAACAAAAGTATTGTATTTTCATTCTTTTTTCAATCAAATTTTTTAAATTTTACTGCTCCATTAAAAAATATTTCCGTGAGGTAAAATTTCGTACACGAAATATGAATAAAAAAAATAATGAAAATTTGAAAGTTGATTTCACGCGTTCAAAGAGATTTTCCTATTGAAAAATAAATTGCTTTATATACATAACCTGTTATATTCCATATCTTTTTACACAGGTTTTCATTAAAATCGGATTTTTTTAAAATCGGCTTTTATTCTCTCAGGATAACCTATGGAAACTTTTCTGACCGACGGTACGTGTAATTCCTATGCCGACTCGATTCTCGCGAGACTAATTATCGATCTATCTCGGAAACCAGTTAACGTAACGCAGCTAATCTATTCGATTATTAGGAATAATAACGGGTATATTCGATAATGTTTCCCTTCTCTGTCCTCTCGACGCTCACTTACCAAATTATTAACCAGTCGTTTCGTTTGCTCTATTTTGCTGTAGACAGAATTTGATTTTTATCTCGGTCTGTGAGAACTCGATTAGCGTGCAATGAGACAATACTTCAGTGACGATACGTTCAACGTGATCACTTTCATGCTATTCTTTGTTATTGTTAAATAAATCCCGAAATTAAAAATGAGAACAATTAGATACGATGTTGAATATAACATACTCGCAATTGTATCATATATAAATACGATATCTTGTTGCGTCAAAAGACGCTTTCATAAATAATTCCCTATCAGGGAAGGGAACAAGCTTAATTATTGAAAATAAATAAATTATGCAAATTTCTAGGCAAAAATTTAAAAAAATAGAAATATAAATACAGAGAAATAAAATAGAAATGTGAAACGTCATTTGAAACGTTTTATATTTGAATAATTAAAAAAAAAAAAAAAAAGAAAAAAATAAATACATATTCGATAGCATAAAAAAATTAATACTTCAATATTTTATCCTTATCATAAATCCCGCATAGCCCTTTATTACGCTCACAATACGTCTCTCTTCAAACTTGTCATAAACAGTTGTTTTATTCCATATTCCGTATATTGCAATAAAGAGCACGTGAAAAAGTTCTATCGTTGTACAACCAGGTTTTGCAAAAAAAAAGAAAAAATTAAAGACATCCATTAAGAGTCTCGTGAAAACGCCATTTATATTTTCATTCTATTCTCAGAGACGATCTCTGCCTCCTCCAGAACGAAGAACGAAGAAATTTAATGTTTATACCACAGGTGTAAAACGATATTTCTTTCTCGTTTCACATTTCACGTTTTTTTCCTCCCCAAACGGAAAAAAACGTGGAAATTATTTGATCTAGGAGAAGAGAGAGGAGGCAATTGTTCAACATCTCATCTATCTCACCATCTCACCCTAATAAATTGCACTGCCCTATTCTATAAAACTAAATCAAGGTTATCTTTTTACTCGGTCAAAAAATTTCTCTCTCTCTCGCTTAAAATCGAAATCGAGAAACGAAGGGAAGAGAGAGAAAGAGAGAGCACACACGTTTTTCATGGGATGGGAGACGAAACATTACCGAAAACCGCCGTTAATCCGGTTAAACGAAGGGGATAATTCTGTTAAGGCGAGGCTGTCAACGAGACACGCACAGATCTATGTGTATCGAGATCTCGGAATGCGGCCATCGAATGGGAAATCGATTGAAATAAAAATAGTTTCGACATTGTCCGGTGATCGATAGGAATCGGATTAATCGACGAATGCATCGTGGTGTGGTCGGATTGGAGAGAAGAGCGATCAAGACATTCAAAGAGGACGTTCAAACGTTCGAAAAGTTTAAGTTCGAATTCGATAAAAGGTGAAGTTGGCGAATTCACGCGAGTGAAGTTGGCATTTGTTTCGGTTGCTCGTAGAAACGAGATACGCGCAACATCTGTTCCGGGGAGGGGGAAACTCTGAGAGAGAAAGAAAGAGAGAAAGAGCGTGTTTCTATGAGCAGAGGAAGAATCTGTCCAAGTTCATTGGGCGACGTTGAGAGAGCGGCCCAATAGAAAATAAGAATTGAATTTCCAATTACAAAGCGGCACGGATCGCGAGATGTTTAGCCAACTTTTTTTCCTTTTCTCTTTTCTTCCACTCCCTGTTTTCTCATCGCGAACGTATTCTATCGTTTCGCGAAACTTTTTATTTATTTCTTCGATTCGTTTCTCGAATGCATTCGATAGAAAATTCTTCAAATTTGTACACATTTAGATTCGACTTAATTAGATTCATTAATCGAAACAGAGACGATAGATTTATCCGAAAATTTCTCTAATGTATTAAACAGATTTCTTCTTGTATGAAAGAAAGAAAGAAAAAGAAGAAGGAAAATATTGGAGTTATTCTTCCATTTTACGCATACTTAAACATTTTTTGTTACGCGTTAACGCACAAACGAAAAAGATGGGGGGGGGAGGAAGGAAAAGAAATTTTTTATCGCCGGATATAAACATTTCTACGCGAAACAAGATGGCAGATCGTTCCATCGTAAACTGGCACAATTTTCACAAAAAACCGAGAGATGAATTCGAAACGATGGAATAAGACGTAGACTTATAAGATTAATAATTATTAATTAAGAAAGAAAAAAATAAGAAAATAGTGTACGTAAAGAAAGAGAGAGATAAATTGTTTATTTCTCATAATATATACACAGTGAGAAGAGGTTGCATTTATAAGATGATGTAATAATCTCTTGATGTTCGAGTATATAAGATCTCTATATAAGAAAGAGTATTTACAACGATCAGCAATCGATTCATCGTTTATTTTAATTAACTGTATTGAATTGAAAAAAAAAAAATTGTTACGTTGCTCGTTCAACATTCGAAAATATAAAAATATATTTCTTCCCGCGATCCTTTTCAACGCGATGATACAAAATATACTGAAACAAAAAAAAAAAAAAAAAAAAAATACAGTAACTAAAATAAATCAATCGAGTAAACGAATCGTATTTTTTTTGTTTTTTTTTTATTAACTATTTTTCAAAAAACAACATCCGACTCGAAAATCATTTCGAAAATCGGTTCATAGGAGGAGGATCGCGTATTCCTCGCGGAATGGACAACAACAACTAATAATAAAAATTGTTGGGCGCAAAACGGGAGAGGTGTAGGTTGGTATACGTGTCAAGCCACGCACAAATCGTACGAGTACAAATCGTAGCACACGGTTTCACAGAGGAACAGAGGAATCCAATATTCTCGATACGACGATCCCACAGGAGTCATAGCTAAGGGTCCAAATCCGATCGAAGGAAAAAAGGAAGGAAGTTATTCGCCTTTATAAACGGGATACGAACAATCCTCGTCACTTCCTCGAAACGATCTTCTCTTCGATTGCTTTGTTACCATGGAATAACATCCCGTGGATTTCTATCCACGATTTTTTCCATCTATTTTGCGATTAGATTTTCGATTTGGAAGATTTTTTTTTAAATCTCTTCGGTCAAATATCGATTTTCAAAGATTCGAGACGAGATGAAATCGATCGAGATATTTTTAAATCTAGAAAGTTTTTTAAGTTAAAATAACGGTTTTCGAAAATTGCGATTTTCATGAATTAATCATGTAAATGTGAACTCGCGTGCGAAGTTAATTGTCCTGCAGCCAGCCTCGTGTCATTAAGTTATAATTAATATTATTGTGATTAAACGCAAACAACGAATTTCCAACGAATGAACGTATATATATATATATATCGAGTCGTTTTGTTTATTTGTCGTTAAATTTGATTGCTTCGAATGTTTGTTTTTTTTGAAAAAAAAAAAATTTTTATCGATCGAGCGATAATATAATTAAAGAAAATTACAAATGAGAGTTGATTAAAATAAAAGAAAAAAGAAAAACAATCGAAAAGTCGTGTACGATCCACGGGAGTGCTAATTTTTTTATTCCCTCACACGCAACGCTGTTATCACGCGAACGATCTACATGCGTTTGATCGTTAAACTCTGGAATTAATTAGCAAAGCGCGAGAGCGCGAAACATTGCCATAGTAAGATCTCGAAACTGGTGATCGAAGATTACTCGCTTACTCGTCCCTTTGCTTTCGCGTAATCGCGTTAGTTGGTGACGAGACGCCTATCGAGATGTCCAGTGAGTCAGTGGAGCGAGGAAATTTTCGAAAAAAAAATAATATCGTTTCCGCGACACTTGGTTCGAGAAATGATTCTTGAGAAGGGAAAGAAAAATACAGAAAGAACAATATTTCTTCACGTCTCGCGTACAAATCGTTAAAATTGATTCGTTATCATCATATTAGCGAGAATGATTAAGCAACAACTTGCAACAACTTTCCGATTCTATTTAATTCTTCTCTAATCCGTCTTATCTCCTCTTCCCGCTTTCTGCATCTGTCGCAACGAGTTATTCGACGAGTTCCTAATCTAATTGTTTTAGAAAAAAAAAAAAAAAAATATTATCTAAAAATAGGCGGCAATCAAGCTGATTTGAAATTGTTCTGGCCATTTTCATTATCTCCACGATCTTAAACTCTCGTTCCGTCGATCTTAAACCTTTCCTCCCCCCTCCTCGAGAGACGCGATAATATTCGAGGTAATTGGAGGAACAGCGAGGGACAACGAAAACAAGGGAAAAAAGAAAGAGACGGAATGATAATCGGTGGACATCGAATCCTTATCCTAATTTCCTAGTTATTCGATGACTGATAAAGTTGATCGGATCTCCTTTGTAACGCGCTTTTACTTGTATGTACGTCTCTTTAAACAATTTTCGAACTTCCCGCCAAAAAGCGGGAAAAAAAAGAGTTTGAAAAAGAAAAGACGGAGGATTATTAAACACGCTTACCTTGTAAATTGGCCAAAGGAATCTTCCCTCGAACGAAATATCTCCGTTCCGTTGGATCACGTGAAACGATGATGTTAAATGCTTAGTTCGTTGCAGCGCGCGCGAAAGAGAAAGAAAGAGAGAGAGAGAGAAAGAGAGAGACGAAACGGTGGAAAAGAGATACGAAGCACTTTTTCACTCGAAAAAGCAACTTCCAGGACGTCGTTCCGCGAGGAGTAGAACGAACGGATGACGGAGTGATGATGGTCGATCGTTGGTCGATCAAGGCAAGGCCAGCGTTACGTAGAACGAAAGATAACGAAAACGAGGCGCTCGGTCGGAAGGGAAGAATAATATAACAGGTGGTAACGTCGGAGTTCCTCACCGTGCAGAGTGCTAACGACGTGTGACGTGGACGGCACGGTGCGAGAGGGCTTTTATAGCCGGCCGTGCCGACTCGACTCGACTACGCTCGACACCGTTTGCCCATAGAGAGAGAGAGGAGTAGAGAGGAAAGAGAGATGGTGTTGGCCCTTACGAACCGATCTCGTCCCACCTCGCGCCCATCTTTAATCCTGATTAAAGGGGCAGATCCTGTGATTAAATATACCGTGCAATTATGAATGAAGTCGTTGAAATTTCTTTTTCTTTTTTTTTTTTTCCTTTCTTCTTTTTCGAGATTTATAACAAATTTTCGAATAATTAATAAAAGGGATATTATACGCGTACTCGTTGGATTTTGTTAATAATTAGGCGTATTAATATTGTACATATTTTTAGTGTAATTAAATTATTAACAATCACGTTAATTAAACTGATTCGTTAAGTTGATTTCCACGGCCACCGGATCGAAACTGTCCGCCGCTACATTTACGTTTATTCTCGCTTTAATCCGAATCGAGAATTACGAGCGGCGAGTGTGTGATCGAAGTAATTGAAAGTAGCGGACAGGCCGGTATTCACACGCATCTGAGAGTCATCTTTAAGAGAATAATTAAAGGTGAAACGCTTCGTATACGAGATCAATTATTCTCTTTCTTCGCGCATTTCCTAACCATTTGAAAGTAGTAACTTTTTTTCCTTACATTTATTACAAGGATTAAACAACTCCTTGCGATGACGTCCACGCCTAATTCATATTATATATAGATGGATTACGTTCAATTTTAATCTCGTAAATTTGAATTTTAATCTTTTCTTGAAGCGGCATCGTGATGAATTTATTAAATTTGACGATACCGCATATTAACAACCGATTGTCGTTGTTAAATGAAAATGCAACATCTGCTCCTACTCGCATCGAACGTTCATTTAATGAAGTCGATCAAGTTGATGAATGCTCGCGCCCCTATCGCACGGATCTTAAGTCGTCGATGGTGTTAACACCGTGATTCGAAAAAGGGATTTCCTCTCGAATTACAGGTATCGGAATGTCGCCGAGACGGATCGAAACGTTGCGTCGATCTGATTTTTCTTTCGAATTTTTTTTAGAAATAATTCTTTCTTTTACGAAGTGCCGAAAAAAAAAAAAGAAAAACGCGCGTTAACGCATTACGGATTGATGACGAGATATCCTGTTTTATATTCAACCGTCAGAGACAGCCGATGAAACGTCAAACGTTTTATTGGGTTGAATCATGAAAATAATTTCAACTACTTCGAATAGTTTTTTTTTCTTTTTTTTTTTTTTTTCGGAAATCTTTTCCGTAGAAAACGATTCGATACGTACGATAAAATGTGAGCATGAGATATAAATAACCAATAAGGATGAACAATTTTTCGATTTTTTTGAATTGAAATTAATTTTTTTTTTTTTTTGTTAATTCACGAGTTATGCAAATTTATATAATTATGTGTTCTGAATTAAATATAACAGGAAATCGAATGAACAATTTTTTGATTTTTCTGAATTGAAATTAAATATTTTTTCTTTTTTTTTTTTTGTTAATTCACGAGTTATGCAAATTTATATAATTATGTGTTCTGAATTAAATATAAGAGGCAATCGAATGAACAATTTTTCGATTTTTCTGAATTGAAATTAAATATTTTTTCTTTTTTGTCAATTCATGAGTTATGCAAATTTATATAATTATATAATGTGTTCTGAATTAAATATAAGAGGAAATCGAATGAACAATTTTTCGATTTTTCTGAATTGAAATTAAATATTTTTTTTTTTCTTTTTTTTTTTTTTGTCAACTCACGAGTTATGCAAATTTATATACTTATGCGTATACTTATGTATACGCAATTTCTTATTTCGTTAGGGACAGGCATCAGGGGGGGATAATTCTTGCTCGAGAACATAATTAACGTAGATATTTTGAATAATTTTAGTACGAATTCACTCCATTGTAAGAACATCCACGATGAATATTCATTTCGGAGCGGATTGCTTGAAATCCTCTGAACGTTTATTTTCTCTATCAACCTTTCCCTCCTTTCTTTTTTCTATTCACGTTTCACGATAGAATAATTGGGCGAAAATTTCACTTAACGTCTCTTTTACAAACGCGTCTTATCGTGCTGATAGAAAAAAAAAAAAAAAAGAAGAACGGACAACTTTAATCACTCTAATCCTTCGAGATAGTCGGAATAATAATAAATCATCTGGTTATGTAGAGTTTTTAACGTTGTAAAGGGCACAAAAGCGAGTATTGTACGTTCGCAAAAGTCAAAATTTATTTTATTCCGATAATGAAATATCGCTTTCCAATAACGAATAGAAAATATATTATTAACTAATAAATCAATTTTATCGTAATTCTGATATGATAGTTAAGTAATAAAGATACCAAGGAGTGTAAAAAAAAAAATTTTACAACAAATGTCAAACTGGATTGATTAAATAATACACGAGGATCAATTCCCAAAGATAAAATTGAATCTGATCGGTTAAAAATCCAAATCATAATACTTCTTTGCATATCGGGAAGGATATCGACGAAATAACGATAATAAGAATCAAGAATTTACGCTATTCCAAAAATTTTCTTTAAGAGAATATACGAAAAGCTAATTTTCGAGATACGAAATTTTTCAGATCGAATGATCGAATCGGTCGAATTCTTCCGAATAATCGAACGAAAGAGCGCGAATAAAGTCCACTTAACACCTACGTACGGGGCGGGACCTTTGCCCATAGGCGAGTTCCATCCTAAAGCAATTAGAGTTGGTGATCGAAGTGCGACTTTGCCGGCGCTATTCCAGCCCGTCATTGCTGCTAATAGCTGCTCTTAACGTCTCCCCGGCTCTGTCAACTAATTCCCGCTAGTGGAGTAACCGTTCGACTGAGCCGACTTGGCCGCCTGTTGCCCGTCTTCTCCTTCCCCACTTTCCGTGCATCGTTTAATGGGCCCCGGACACGGGAGGAATTTCCTTTCGAAAATCGTCGGCCAAATCTCGTTTCCCAATCGTGACGTTCCTCAACGTCAAACGTGGACGTATACCGGGCTATTTAGCAATTAAGAAAATGGAAAATAACGATCTTACTAACGAACGTTACACGGGATATGAGTATACGCACTTTGAACGTTATTCGCCTCGGTGCTTATCGATGGACCTTCGGTCCCTGGTCCCAACTATATTTAGACAAAGAGCGATTCGAAAGAAGATTCCCTTCTTAAGATTGGCTAAGATAGCTGACTCGTTATGACAAATCGTCAATCATGCTTTACAATTCTTTGCTTAGGATCCACAGGTGGAAAGATTAGGAGATAACCGAATGATTCTTTACGCTATTCTACTCTCTTTTCCCTTTTCTTTTTTTTTTCTTTTTTCTTTTTCTTTTTTCAAATTCGATGGAATTAATCGACACTTATCCAAGTCAATGTCGCGTTCAAATATCGTGTGTAAACGAAAATTGCAATCTCGCCTTGCTTACTTCTGTACACAATCCTAACATTCCCTTAATCTTGATCAAGTGTAAATCAATGCGCGAATTCGTTCTAATCGAAGCTGGTCCTACTTGGAGCTCAGCCGTTCGAACGATATGTACGGGTTTATGATTCTCTATGAATTTCTCTTGATCTTGGGTCAAATGGAAATATTCCGTTTGAATTATCCGTATATTGAGCGTACACGTGAAAGTTTTAGTTTTTCGAATCATTGTCAACTTGTGTGACGATTCTCTCTTTCGAAAATATCTTAGATACGTGAATTATGATTATTTTCAATATTGTTGACGTTCATTATTAATTCTTAATTAATATTACACCGTTATGAGAATTCTTGAGTGTCGTAAGTGTTGCAAGTATTATTATAATTTCTCTCTAGAGTATGGAGTTGATTAATTAATTACTAAAAGAAATAGTTTTCTGCGGATTATTAAAAAAGGCTGTTAACTAATCTAAATTAATCTTGCTCAAATTAATTGATGATTCATTCAAAATTTTACCATATTATTAGTTTAATTATAGAAAAAGGAATAAATGATAGACAAATTGAAAGAATATAATTAAAAAAAATTAACGAAAGCCTGAACTTTAAGATTATTTTAAATTACTCCAAAAACTAACTTTAACAAAATTGAAATATTCTCTGAGATAAATTCCGAGTATTTCATCCCGAGTAATTGAAATTATTAACTTGAAATTCGTCAGAAATCGAGATGTATTCGTATTAAAATTATAGGCTTGAAGAAAAAAAAAAATGGTGAGAAAAATAGTTAAACCTATGACGAGTAATCGTGAAAGAATTTTCTGGAATTTACACGATAGGTTTAATCGAATCATTGGAAATTATTCAAGCACGAACGCAACCTCCCGAGTTATGACGTATGTATATGTATGTATATATATGTACGTATATACTTGCATATCTAGCCATGCGCATTTACAAATAGATCCAATTGAAGCACGAACGAAAGAAATATATAGTTATAACTTCGATCTCTTTTTTCTAACGAGAGGAATCGTATTTGTATTAAATTTCAAGTTTCGATTAATTAATATAGTTTAAATATAGTTGAAATATAGTTGGATTAATTAATATAGTTGAATAAATCCGCGTATATCCTTACCTCGTGCAATTTTATCCTTATTCGCGCTTTTTCATAGAATTCCATCGGAAGAACCTCGAAACAAAAGGGATCAATCATTTGATTTGTTCGATTTCGAGGCGAGAATTTTCTTCTTTGGCAGTGGTATAAAGTGTCTCGTATGTTTGCGTCCATACTTTGGAAATAATACAACGAAAAGTTACTGCTGATCGTTGATCGATTATTGTCAAAAAAATTAGGTTATGTACGCGTATATTCACGAATTAATATGTATTATAATTCTAACAGGTAACGATATAATTTTAGTTAAAATGTTTGTAATTAACCTTGAATCGAGAACATAATTGCAGATTTAGCATCGAGCCGCAGGCATTGGTCAAATACAGGAGATATTAATCGAAATCTTGGACAATATTTGTTATATCGATGTAATCAAATCAAGTGGATAGTTACTCGTGCAGCTTGGTTTCTTAAATTAGATTTTCTTTAACGATCGAGTAAGATCTATAAAAAAAAAAAAAAATGTAACAATTCCTTGAAGTGTGCAAATTAAATGAAGTTAAAGCATACGAAAGCCGTCTATTCAATCGTAAATTACGATTGTTGGAGTGATCGCCATCCCTACAAATTTGCAACATCAAAAGATCTGCCTACGAACGCTCGTTCGTGAAAAAAAATACAACGCGTGGGCACGTTATTAGCATACTGATGTCGAATTTTAAACGGAAGACGTCAGAAAAATTTGAGGTTCGCTTAAAGTTACTTTCTTCCATGTTAATATTGAATTCGTATCTAAAATAAAAATATAAAGATCGATTTATATTGTATCTCGATATAATTATTTAGGCAGAAGATGACACCCTGAAGATGAATAAATGATGCAATAAAATATGATAAAATAAATGAATTTATTTTAACGCAAAATTGAAAATGATGTCTGGAAAAATTAAATTTATTTAATTACATGACGATTGTGGAAAAGTTTTAATCATTTTACATTTCTAACGTTTGAGTCCATTCAAAAATATATTCTGGATAATTTTTTATCGATTCTTTACTCGTTTACAAGAGAAAAGGATTTTCATATAATCAATTAAATTTAATAGAAAATTTAGTAAAATATAAAGAAGATGATTTTCGAGAAATAAAAGAGAGAAATGAAATTAAATATTTTAAAAAAGTTAAATTATATTTTAATCATAATTCTGAGATAAAATATTAAACGATATGCACATGATAAATTTTTAAATTTCATCTGCATGAATTTTTTGAAATTATTACTTTTACACTTTATAATAATATAATATAATGCATATTTTATACAATAAAAAATAATAATTTACGAGAAGAAATTGTAATGGAACATGCTTTTAAATTTTAACTTTTCGTAATTTATAGATTAACTTTTCAAATTAATTTAATCTATTTAGTAATCTATTTAGAGTTTATTTATTTAGAGTTATTCCATTTTTAAAATTATTCTTTATTTTGTATCAAAGTGCTTGTAGAATTTTGTGCTTAAAATGTAAAATTAACAAGAATGCAAAAATTATTACAATTCGTTCAAAGTTTCTTTATTTCATTAACGTCATCAAGTAATTACTATGATTTTAGTACAGCAGACTATAACGACAGACTGAAAAATAATTCGATTAATTATTCGTTTGTCAAAGAAAATCTAAATTAGAAGGCAACTGCGTTAACACCCATTTCATTTATTTCTTAGAAACCTATGTTGTTCATTAGCTAATTATTGAAAAACCTAAATAATAATTGAACCTTGTCGGTTCATCAAACGGCAATACACACACACATACACGTTATTTGTATCGATGAAAAGATTTTAATTAAAAGATACAAAAGAAAAGAATTCATAAATTACAAGTGAAATTCAATATATTTATATTGAAATTTATTTTGTAGTTTTAAATTTTCTTCTATCTATTATCAATCTTCAATCAAAATCAAAATTCTATTTTTTATAAGTATATATATATGATATATTCATACAATATTAATTACCATTTTTTTTCCATTATTTCGTATCTTTTATTTTAGTATTCTTTTAGAATTATTTTCAATGTTATTGATTCAATTCAGAATAAAGTAAGCATAAAGATTAAAAAAAAATGTAAATTTCAATATAAAATTAAATAATCGTGTTTAAATCCTATCCCAACACAAGAAGATCAAATAATGAGAATAGAAATAGATTAAAAATATTAAAATCAGCGCCATCTCTAGAGTGTCGCAAATGAAACACATTCATATGATAAAGACGAACTTTACCTTTCCTACTACCATATTCTATATCTTGTCCTATTGAAAAATCCTACTGAAAAATCTTCACGAAATATATGAATATTTACATTCTATATTTATATTTTTATATATCATAAAACCTATATTATATATTTTATATATTTATAAATTCTTTTTCTATAATTCTCAGTTCTATATATTTTTATTATATTTTATTATATTTCATTATATTTTATTATAAATTATAGATACATACCTATATATATAAATAAATCTTTCTTCTTTTCTTTATTTTTCTCTATACTCTTTATATATTTTTACTTAAATTATTTTTAAATTATAATTAATTTAATGTTTCTTCTTTTAATTCTACACTTTGTATAATTTCTTTATTTTAATTGTTGACGAAATATTTTGTCGATAAGTGAGAGAGCAATCTTGAAAAAATTTCTGAGATCAGTGCCATCTCGCGTTTGGATCGTGGAAACTCTGATTTATTATTAGCATAGCAGAATATATAAGGAAGTATGCGAAGTTGTGTGACGTCACAAACAAGATACGCAATATTGCGCAAGAAGGATAGAAAATATCTCCCATCACTTTAAAGATATCGCATGAAAAATTCATTAACGATTAATACATCATAATTTCTAATATGTCAAAAATGCTATGTTGAAAATTAATTAATTACTTGTTTACAATTATAAAATTTCGATATTTTTAAGAGTAATAAAATTAATACGAGAAATTTGCTTAAAATTTTAATTTTAAAATACAAGTTTAAAAGTGTCAAAATATTAAGTTAAATATTAAGAATAATTAATGGATTTTCTTCAAAGCGGGGACAGATATTTTCTGTGCTCTTCGCACAATGTTTCTTTATCGGTAACTTCGAATACCTCCTTGTATATTCTGTTATGCTAATAATAAGTTAGAGCTTCAGGTATTCAAACGCGAGATGGCACTAATTTCATAATTTTTAATATGGATTGAACAATATCATAGTGTTTGCTGGTTACCCAATGAGCTATAGTGTATATGTTCAACAACAGATGGTGTATATTGTTTGTAATCAAAAATAAGATTCATTTAATAATTCACTATATGTATAAATAAATGCTTAGTTATATGTCATTAAATTTATTCTATGAATGTTTATGTCAAGTGTCAATAATAATATCAAATACTACGTATTGAATTAAATTTGTTCATATTATTATTAAGAATTAAATTTGAATTAAATTTGTTTATATTATTATTATTAAGAATATGGCGAAAACTGAAGTAATAAACGAAATCAAAAAGCTTTCAAGTTTAGAAAGAGAGCAAAAAATAATTGATAAAACACCTTTTTGTCATTTAAAAATTACTAATGCACGAATTTTGGATACAATAGAAGGCAGAGAAATATGTAAACATTGTTGTAGGTCACGAAAATTTTTTTGTTATTCTTGTTATTTACCAGTTATTGGAGAACAATATTTTCCAAAGATAAAGGTAATAATTTATGTAAATTATGTATACATAAATGTATACATGAATATATAGACTTTTCTTTTTTTAGTTACCTATTAAAATTGATATCATTAAACATGCACGTGAAATAGATGGAAAAAGTACTGCAATTCATGCAGCCATACTTGCCCCTGAAGATGTGAGAATTTTTACATATCCTAATTTCCCAGATATATTGGACAAAGAAGAGGTATATATGACAGCAACAATATATTTAAGATTATTTTGTTTTTAAAACTTTGGTATAAATAATATTATCCTTTAGACTGTTTTAATTTTTCCTAGCCAAACTGGTGTATCTGTAGATTCTTTATTCATAAAGGAGGTTAAAAAAGATAATAAAATAATTACAAATAGAATAAAGAATGTATTTCCTATAAAAAGAGCTATTTTTATTGATAGTACATGGCATCAAACAAAAGCCATTTACAAAGATCAAAGATTACGAGGTAATTTTTATAAGCAAATCATATTACATATTTGTTAATTTACATACAAAATAATATCATTTTCATTATTTTTATTTTTTGTAAAAATAGAATAAAATCTTAAGAAAAATTATAATTATATAAGATTTATATCATGTGTAATAATATATATTGTTATTTACAGATTTGCATTGTGTTATTTTAAAATCAAGAATATCACAATTTTGGCGTCATCAGAAAAAAAGTCCAAGATGGTATTTAGCTACTATTGAAGCAATTCATCAATTCTTAGTAGAATTACATACATGTGCATTTGGTATAATTCAAGAATATGCTAACACAAAAGATACTGAAGAAAATTCTATAAATAATACTATGGTTCGGCATATAAATGATTTAGATGAAAGATATAAAGGTCAATATGATGATCTTTTATATTTTTTTAAATATATGTATGAAAAAATTCATATTATGTATGATCATGAAAAATTATGGGCATATAAAAGGCCATTAATTTAATTTTATAATAATAAAATATTTTATAAGAAAGATATATATATTAAATATAATTTCATTAATAAAAGAAATTAATAATAATATTTCTCATAATTTTTGTTTTTAACCTTAAAAACATAATTAATATAATACATACATACATATATATATATATACATTTTTAAGTATATTGATTATTAAATCAATATTTTATAGTTACCATAATAATTAATTTTATATATTATAATAAATGAATAAATGTATATAGAATAATATTTTAAGAATTGTAAATGTAAAAAATAGTAGAACATTTATATATATATATATCATGTAAATCATGCAAAACTAAAACTAAAGTATTTATAATTATATAATTTATTTTTAAGAATCAAAAAATTATATTATATATAAAATAATATAAATAATTTTTTTAATATTATTTTAAAGTTTGTAATTAGAAAATTTAGATGGATTTTTTCTATCATATTTAATATTTAACACACTTTTTCACGTAATATTATTTGACAAATATCTTTGATTTCATAAAAAAATGTATTATTTTTTTAATTAAATTCAATAAATTACATTATAATTATATTACTAATAACAGATGTTCTTGTTAAACAGGTTCGTCAACTTAAAAACTTTTAGATTAAGAAAGATTCAACACTAAGAAAATTTCTTGAATAGAGGTAGGTGACCTAATAAGTATTTCCAAAGAATCAAACATTAAATTACATTATTTATTTTTGTGTTAAAGTTTCTTGAAAATTTAATAATGTGCACTATTCTTATATTGAAACAAGAATAACATTCAAAAATAAAAAATTAGCTATAAATATAGTACTATTTATCAAATCTGCAGCATTTTGAATTATTTATTATGTTTGAAAATAAACAATGAAGATAGGGAGTATGTACGTAAAAGAGAATGCTCCCAAACACACGGGAAGCTGTACGCTGATTAGCGAATAGCTGGTAGTGACGTCATAACGTCTTCGTCTCTTACGTTCCGCAACCCGCGGTGCCCGTCAGCCGTCTGCAATGAGTTTAGTTTTCAAAACAAGACTCTGCTTGCCGCTTGTAGGCTGCACTTGCATCTAAACGAAAACTTAAGGCAGAATTGAAACCTGGTGATTCGGAAGACTGTGTCTATACTAGTGTTTCGTGTGATTTTGATTTTTCTCTGATATATTTTCTGCCTTTTCGATAAAACGTGACGAAAAAATGGACACCCTTCGCGAGCAGGTGATGATCAATCAGTTTGTGCTGGCTGCAGGTTGTGCCAGGGAGCAAGCGAAACAGTTGCTACAAGCGGCTCATTGGCAATTCGAAGTAAGAGAATAAGATTTCGCATCTTTTTTATGAAAGCATTAAGAACTTCATCATATTTATGCTCACCGCGATTCGATACTTTCTTCGTAAACAAAGCAGCGAAAATGGCCGACCGTTCAAGCGGTACTGTCGTTCGATCCGTAGTTATGTATTCACACGTGTTTAAATGAAAACACTGATTGAATTTAATCGAACGATGTTCCGTTGTTAATTGTTATGTATAATCGCATTAAAATACGTTCAATAATGATCTAAGTAGTATAAGTTGAATAAGGGAACATATTTATTATCACAAGGATAAAATCCATTCATAAAAATCATACGATGTTGCTAAGAGGTTTCGTTCGTTATTATTATGATGAACATAATCATTCTGCTCTGGTATTAAAGTTGGTAATAAAGTTCTAATACATTAGGATAGTTATAGGTTACATTTTTCTAATCTTTTCGTTTGTTTTTAGTTACATCATTTTTTTTTTATTGACTCTATTCGGCTAATCTCATTTTAGACTTGATTTTTATTCACAAATATTATTATTACATACTTTTAACGTGCATAAAGTTTTAAAGGTTTAAATAAAAAAAAGGTTAAAATAAGCTCATGTATCTATATCATATTTGATTTCTTCAAACCTAGTCTGTAAACGGACTTGGCCACTAACAATGAGAACAATGCTGACATCGCGTGCAGCAATCGTGAACAATAACTATCTTTTCGGTACAACCTTTCCAAGTCTATCGATTTACGAGTTATCCGTTGTACTGAAAGCCTCCTTCGGTTTATGGAAATTAGATTACATTTAGTCCATCGATATACTATGTATTAGTGAGTTAACGACCTTACACGTAACGTTACGAGCGAATAGAACACAACAAAACACAACTTCTGCTTTAACTTGTATCTATTTAAGTTAGTATTAGTATATTAGTTTAAGAAATCAAGAATTATTTAAAAATGAATCGAATGAAATGTTTATTTATAAAATGATTATAAATTTTGTTAATGTAAAATGTTATTTCCCAAATATGAATTATAAAACTTGTATATTTTTATATATAATTTTGTATATAATTTGTTATAACTTTTTTAATACAAAATATTTATATAAAATATTTCTCTTATTTCGCATCAATAGAATACATTGATAAAGTTTGACTGGAATTTATACTTTGTATATCACTGTAGCATAATATCTTATTTAATATCAATTATCTGTCATCTTTCATTCATGTTATTGTTGTACGGATTAAAATATTTAAGATTAATTCAATAATTTCTGATAATCAAGAAATCAGAAAAAATAATATGCGATAAATTCATCGTAATAAATTCATAAATTCATAAAATTAAAAATGGACTATAGTGGCGAACTTTTGGTGAACTTTAATGGCGAATATTAGAAAAAATGCATATATATTTTGATGTGGTTTATAGTATTGTGTTCAAAGTCCGTGAAGTTTATATTTCTTATAATTTTTATATGATGAATAAAAATAGATTACAAATATTAATTAGGTAAAAATTTAAAAGTATAAAAATAAATAGTACATGTATTATGTATAAAAAATACATAATAATACATGTATATGTTTAATAATTTTCTAAAATCTATATTATAAAGTGAATTGGGAAAGGAAATTATAACATATAATATAAATATAAATATGTTTGAAATAAAAATATGTTTTGATTGACATTTATTTGGAAAGATATATGTATATTTTAATGATACAATTTCTATATCTTATTGATATCTGCAATTCATGAAATTTACACAGTTTATAAGTTTCTCAAACTTTCACATCAACCAATATAATACGGTCAAGAGCCTACCATACACATTTAACAATTAGTATCTTATCCATAGGCATTAATTGATTATTTTTTTTGCTAAAAGTTTTTTATATTTTAAATGTTTGATTACTAAAATTAAAACTTTAGAAATTTTATCGTATCACGTATTCAGAAATTTAATGACAATCATTTCTATATCTATGTTTTTTAGTCTATTTTTGGAAAGCGTTATTATATTAATTAAATATTGTTTTTAAAGATAATATTGTTTTAAAATAAAAAAGATTTAAACATTAAAAAAAAAATATTATTTAAAATATAAATTAAATATTAAATATAAATTAAATAAAATATAAATATATTTAAAATAATTTTTAAATTTAATTTTAAATGCATAGCATTATAACAAATTAAAAAAAATAGAGAGAAAAAAACATTATTGTCATTCAAAACATGAGAGAATGAAATTTTATCACGAAACTTTGGCAATTTATCTTGAAACCAAATTGATCGTTAGTTGATTGCGAGATCCAATCGGTTATTTAGCACCATGTTTACTAAACGATTGCAACATGATATTAGAAGTTAAATTGTAATCTCTGGTTGTCGCTTCGAACGTAAGATTTCATAAGAATCGCAAAGGATTGCTAATATTTAATGTCATTCCGTTATTATTGTCGTTACGTCATTCCGTGAAAATAACCATCGCATCATTTAAAATAAACATCGTCAATATCTTACGTACACCCCCGTTCATAAACATTGGAGTACCTGCTAATATAAAATATATTACAAAAATATATAGAAATTAGATATTTGTATTGAAATAATTATTGAAAATAAAGAATAATATCTTTTGAAGGATAAGATTCTTTTTGAGAAATATTAAAACTTTAAAAATCTAGTATGTTACATTACATCTAATTGATATTGATAAAATTGAAAAAATTAAAAGAAATGAAATATGAAAAAAATGCATTATAAACATTTATATTAAAAAAAGATATTCATCTTTTTTTTCTATGTATTTATTTCTTTTATTACATATTACACTTTGTTTAATAATACATATTTACAAGTGATATAATAGGAAGGAAATATATTTGATCAAAATACTTAAAATAGTATAGTTATGTACAAAAAGAAAACAAATCTTAAATTTTCGTAATAATCAAAACTGCATTATTTCATGAGAAAACATAAAAAAATAAAGGCAGAGAGAGAGAGAGAGAGAGAGAGAGAGAGAGAGAGAGAGAGAGAGAGAGAGAGAATTTAGTCTGTTCGTTGAATTCAGTCTGAAAACTTTCTCTGCTCGACTGCTAATGCTTTTAACAACAGATTACGATACAGGTTCTAATGAGTACTGGTAAGTTTATATGTATACGCTACAGCGATATCTTTCCAGCTCTTTCTTTCTTTCTCTTTCTCTCTCTCTCTCTCTCTCTCTCTGTTTCCGTTTCTTTCACTATCCATTTGTATCGATATAAATACGTATACGTAACATGTACACAATAGACAAGATACTTTCATGATTATCTAATGAGATTAGTCAATAAGAATGAATTAAATAATTTATTAAAGGAATATAAGGCATATTTTTTTTCTTTTCTTATTTATAAATTTATTAAAAATTTAATTTTTATAATTATATAATTTTTTTTTTTTATATTGTGTACACATATTTGTTCCTCCGTCTCTCAGTATTGATTTCTGTTGATAATACATAGTTTGAAGAGTTTCATTGCTTATGTTCAATATTTCATATTCCACGAACAAAGCAACATCAAAACATATAGCTTGGCGATTGGCACCGCGATAACGTATATAGATAGGGAACTTACAATAGGTCTTAAAGAAACTTACAATGGGAATGATAAAAAGATAAAACTTGAAGAAAGGAAAATAAATTTTAAAAAGTAACATGAGTTTATTGGTCAAGAGTTAAATTCGTGATTTTTTGAAAAAATGAAATTTCATATTTATTAAGCTTATATTTTTTCTTATAAAGTAAAAAAATTTTACGATTTAATTATATTTAAATATAAATATCAAAATAAATCAAGATAATAGTATTAGATGATCCACTATGTGTATATCATTCCTTTCGTTTGCGTTTCATCCTCGAATGCTGGTTAATTTTAGCATTGAACGCAAAGTGCCATTAGAATGTAATTGCATGGCGAACGCATGATGAAGCCACGCCATTCGAGATAGAAATAAAATTATTGTTATCATTATCGATACAAATCGTCAAACTATACCATTTTAGCATCACAAGATCCTTTTTAGAGGTCGGCTTTCAAACTAAAGGAACGGCAAGATTACGACGATCCCATTGCAGTGACATCTGGCAAAGTCCATCTGTTCTGTTTTTGTCGCCGTCAGTGTCTCTCATCGTTAACAACTTGTATATGTATATCCTTTGTTTCTCTCTCCCACGAAGGTCAAACAGAAATGGATCTTCATTCAATTTAGATTTATTTTTATTTTTTCCGATATTTATTCTAATAATATATGAATCGAGGATTTATTATTATTGTGTCTGACATTTTCAAGAAATTCATGAAATTCTTCGAGCGCGTATCGAGTACCCGTGGTATACCAAAACAATTCCAGAGATTTATCGGAAGAACGTGAAAAATTAGCACGCTACATCGGTGGCAATGTGCCATTTCTCTTTTATTCGAAAGAATGCTCAAGAGAAGGAAGTTTGTTTGCAAACCGCATGAGAACAACTTTTAGAAATGATGCTTCCATCAAATCAATATAGAGAAATTTTCACTATTTCGAAAATTGTTTCTAACTGCTTCGATTGAAAGTGCACTGTTCTATTTTTCATGATTCAACTTTTTTTTACATCAATATTTAACTTATTGATACTTTTTCTGATATTTATCATCTTTGCTTTTCTTCTCTTTCATTTCTATTCATTCTATTCTATGATTCTTCCAATTTTTTTTTTAAATCGAAACAACCAATTGATATTAGATAAGTAAATAAAGTGCATAGAAAAATATAATTTTTTTTTAAATGTAATATTATTTCAAGATGTACAAAAGAAGCATATTTTTCTAGTTTAGATATATAATAATAATCATAATAATAGATTAACGTATGTAAACCTTACGTTTCTTATCTCAATAAGTTAGCATAGAGGAGATATGTTTTATCAACATTATTTTTTGTTAGATTGATACATATAAAATATTAAAATATTATTATATTTCTTTAGAATTTGAATATAATATAATATTAAATTTTATTCTATCGATAATTGTTATCGAACATTCATCTTTTACAAAATAATCTCACGCAACTAAACCGAACCATAATTCTGAAACGATAGAAGATAGATAAAATTTCATATAACGAAATTTCGTTTGACCTTAAAGTCCTCGGATATCTACGTAGATCTAAAAACTATATAGACTTAAGTAGAATCATTGGTCTTTCACGAATTTTTCTAGAATTTTTTAGAATTTAATATTTTAAATTTATCTAAAATATTTAAAACGATAAATATTATTGCATAATAATATTTAATTACAAAAAAGTAATATATATATTCTATGTATTCAATCTATGTATTTTACTTCGTATACTTTTCATTTTGAATGAATCAATAATATTTACAGAAATTGTTAGCTCATAAGTATCAAAACAATGTTCAAATTTTTCTTAAGCTGTAACATATTTCTGAAAATAAAAAGTTTCCTTAGTTTTATTTCTTTCGTATTTTTTTCTCTACGTTTTGAAAATCTTTCCACAATATACGTCTAGGTAAACTGGAAACTTTGAAGCGTAGGAAATCTATTTCAGGTTCTTTCTCGTTACGTGATTTGAACGTAACGTGGTCGAGAAGTGCTAGGGTACGCGGAACAATTTTGCCCAAGATTTACTAGCTTCTATATTCACACGGCAGATGAATGTCTCTTTTACCTCGTTTCTCAATTTGTTATTAACTTAATTTTATATTGTATTATTATAGATAATTTTTATCGTAACTTTAAAATGGTTAAAATTTGTTTGTACTGCTTCTAGATCGATTTTTAATCGAACAAGATATATCCGTACTATCAATATAATATACTATCAATCAAAAATTTTTAAATTACATATTTATTTGATAGATAAGTTACTTAATGATTAAGATTATAAGAGGATTTTTAACTTATTCAATGTTATCAATAAAGATCATCGTTAATTTTTAAGTAAATATATTTATAAAAATGAAATACGTGATTTCAAATTTATGAAAAATATAAAATACCAAAAAAGAAGAAGAAATCATTTCTATACGTTTTATTTTCACCGATGAGAAAAATATATTATAACTTAATAAATAGAAAATACGTGTATGCATGCTCTAATTAGCGTAACGAGCATTAACGATAAAAATTTTTCTGATCGCCTTTATAAGATATATTATACTCTAGGAAAACTTCCACGTAACATAACACGTAATTTTATCGAATAATCAAATAATTTGACTGTTTGTTATCTTTAACACGATTTATTAACGCAAATATAGGTTAATATTAACACGCTCACTGAAATTGTTCGCGATACTTATTTCTTTTTGTTTCTCGATAAATATAGATAAGATTTGCTACTAACGATTTATCGGTATTGTTTGTGCGATATAGCGAAATGAAAATTACAAATATACCTCGTGATCGCAAATGTATATTCTTGTCTCCTCGGAGAATCTAACAAAACAAAGATACCATAGGCAACCCGTTAATATTTTAGATGCATGCAAGTAGCAACGTCGTGCTACATAGTAAAAGCTGGGTTTCGAGGAAAACTTAGCGGAAAACGGATTGAGAACCGCATAAAAAGAGTCAAGTACGAAGAAATACAAGAACAAAAGTAAACAAGGCGCGTCACGGTTTTCCTTGGAAAGGCAATTTTCAAAGTTTCGCGAAAACGAGTATGTCGCGTGCATATGAGAAACTGGTAAGAAACTGTATGTAAATTTCTACCGCAATTAGGTCGGTTAAAAATTGTTAAAATTAATTTAAAAAATAATTAGTCGGTTAAAAATTATTACAGGTAGCCAATGATCTATCTAAATATTGATAGTTGTTTGATTCAATTGAATGATACGAAAACATTGCGATCTCGTGCGATTTAGGTTATATATTTTTAATTCTATGAAGCAAATAATCGCCACGTTATAGAAAATATAAAGATACAGATTATCTGTTTCAAAATGGTATATTTGGCTGCATCGAATTTAAAATTGATCTGTTTGTAATATTTGGAAACTTAAAGTTAATAATATGATTGTGTCATGAGAGAATATATCAAATACTGAAAAATTTTTAAGTATGTGTTGATATCTTTAGTTACAATCCGACAACCGGCAACCGAAATCACGTGGTGCGAATATAGCGATACTGAAAATTGTGATCAGTTGTAATTAGAAATCATAAATTTCATGTTGTGAAATTAGATCTTGTAGTATCTATATTTGTCTATTTTTGTCATTATTTTGAGTATATAAAAAAAATAAATATAAAGAATTTACATATTTCTTTAATAATGATAAATCAATATAATTACTTCGAAAAACTTACAGTGTACAGTTACAAACAAATTGTAATAACTTTTGTAATTTGTAAATAATGCAAAGAAAAAATATAGGAATTCATAAATTTTATATTTGATCCTTAAAAAAATTTTTTTTACAAATGTTAAAAATGCATAATTATTTGTCCAAAAAAAGAATTATAAAATATAAAAATATATTTTTCACTGAATAAAAATAACAATGGCTGAAAAAAATATTTCATATTATTGAAATTTTGTTACACTTAGCGCACGAAGAATTTTTGAGCGCGTGATTGAATTGTATTTCAACACGTAATGCGATCTTGCAATAGAAACAGAACCATTATTATATTCATCTGTTGCTAGTGGTGTCATACATAATTGCGCGTATCGATCGATTGGTGTACAGCTGTGTTAACGCTGTAAATGTAACCACACCCGCCTTAATAAATCGAATTGAAGGTCTTTTCCAAGAGTGTGCGCGCGCAGGCATATACTTACATATCAAGTTAGAAATTCTACATAAAGAATTTGTTGTTGTTAGGTCACTAGTTTAAATGTTTTTTTAATTTATATCTTTTGTGTATCTAAGCGATGAAAAAAGTGATATTTTTTTTCAATTTTTTTAATATTGATTTTTTAATATCGTTCAAAATCTAATGTATATTTGAAGTAATAATTATGATTATAACAGCATTTTTTTAGGTTAAATTAAACAAAAGACATTTAACATATTTGTAATAATACATATTTTTTGAAATTGAAATATTTTTTCATGTGTTATTAATTACCAGTCAATGTATCATCAATAATTACAAACGTATGATAAGTGTATAATGTGTCATTGGTAGAGCATGTATCGTCGCGAACATGTTAAAGGTTATGTGACTTATTATGTGCTGTCTGAAGATTAATGATACGATTCGTAAACAGAAACAGAATTCATTTTGAAAAACGATTGTTATGTAATCATAATACAAACATAATAGTAATATCGAAATATGAAATATATTCGATTTGTTTAATCTAATAATTGTTATTTTATGATTTCAGACTGCTCTTAGTATTTTCTTTCAAGAAGCTGCGATACCTCCCTGTGCACAAGGACCTGGTACACATTTTGGTCAAGTAAGTTGATTCGTTTTGTTTTTTGACAGTCGTATTATGCAGAAAAGAACCGGTTTATAAAAATGAAAAATATAGGATGTAACCATAATTTCATACGATAAAATAACGAAAATATTCAACCAGTAGTTAAACCATTTATTAAACCATTATATATATCGAATTCTAGAGGTTTTCTAAATTTTATATATATTTTATTTATTATTGACAAGTTTTTTATTTATTATTGACTATTTATGGCTATAATTATTGTATAATACTAAATCAATATCATACTATTAATAAATAATGTCATATTTCATTAAAATAAATATTAAATCTGAGTTTCTTTTTGTCAATAAATTAATTTGAGAAAATTCTATCAGAAAAGTTCGATTATTCCTTTATTCTTGTATCGACATCTAATCGATACGAAACTATTTCCGCGTCAGGAGCGTCGTCGTCGTCGTCGTCATCGTCGTCGTCGGTTATGGCGGCAGTATTTTATCTTCTTTTCCCTTTCCATTGACTCTCTTTATTTATGTCACGTGCAACGATCCACGACACATCACGCGAATGATTTTATTCATTAGGTTCGTTGCGCGAATCGCGTCGAGATCACGCGCGAGAAATGAAATTTTTTCATTGTCTTTTGTTCACGTGACATTGTTTCATTTTGTTTGCTTTGCGAATACTTGGAATTTATTCATTTCTTTTCGTCCCGTATTAGAAATTAGTATAGTTGTTTGTTTTACTTATATATTTTATATGAAAAAATAAAATATTACTTATATCCAAGGACTTTGATTAATATTGATCGATTTATGTGATAATAGTAGTCCGAGAATCTTATCGAAATATACAAACACAAATAATATCTATAAGTTATATTTAATATCTTCTTATATATAGAATTATAACTGATTACTAAGAATGTATATTTATTATATTTCTTTTCCAAAAAAAATTTGTCTTCAACGGATTAAAACAGAACTTTATTTTTATTTTTATTATATATATATATTTTATTGATTGATTTACCGCTATTAATCAATGATTTCATACACGATTTATGCACGCTGGTGATTTACTACATTTTTGTGCATCGTCACGTAACGTGAGGGGAAGTGCGCATTCGAGTCATCGATTTGGCTTAAACTTTACTCACGCTCTACGTCCTGTATAATAATGTGTTAAATTAGCAACTATAAATATTATTAAACATTTCGTAAAAATATTATGTTTGAGACATAAAAAATATAAATTTGAATTGAAAATGAATCGAGATAGAACGATAATATTTTGATAAAAATAATTCAATTCTTGAAATTTTCAATTCATTTTTTTTTTTGAATAAAGTTTAAAAAAAATATTATAATGTTGTTATAATTAGATATTTATTATTTTGAATTATTTATACTACATCGTATGCAAATCAAACGGTTGGAAATGAAATGAGAAATCAATAGCCATTAAATTTCATTCCGTCTGTCATTGAGTATCAAATTGTTCATTATCGTTGTTGTTTGATAAATGTTATTTCCATCAATTTCACTTCTATTTTTAGTTGATATTTAAATTTATATTAATAATCATTATTTTTGACTAATTATATATATTTTATTATCTGAATTTTTTTATTTTAATTAATTTTACGATGATAATGTATTCTAACGTAAAATAATTTTTAATTCTCATGAATTAATTATTATTCCTGAAAGAAATAATAATTAAATTTTGCAATTGATCATTTTATATGTTTTGAAAAATTTTTCACAGACTTAAAAAGTTTTAACGTAGAATAATAATAAATAAAATATTATCGTTCTTCGGTTATGTAAATATAAATGCGAGACATATATGACATCATAGATAAAATGCATAGATAAAATATTTTCATTTATCAATCCGATCAAGAAAATGGAAAATCATCATTATGATGTATGCCTCTAACTTCTTATATAAAATCATACGTATTTTACAATGCGAACGCATATATCACATATGAGATGAGATCATTTAATAAATTTTAAATGCTTTTATTTCACGATCTAAGTCGAATAGATTATCTTTTTTTCGAAATATAAAAACATGAAAGAGAATACAAAAAAAAATAAATATATAAAATATTACATTTTACATTACTTTTACATACTATGATTATAAAAAGAAGATTCGTAAGATATCAAGCATATATCAATATTTTCAGAAATATTTATTTATCGTATATTTATGTATATTTATGCATGACTTCATAAATAATTTGTATTCTATTCCATATATTATGAATTGTTTTCAATTAATTTATAACGCAAGCAATGTATCTCTATTTCTTTCAATATAAGGAAATTATTTTTTGTTGAATATTCAGCATTTTATATCTCGCAAATTATTTTTAATTATATCGTAATATATCGTAATATATATCGTCATTACACATGTCGTAATGAATTGATTAATTTTACTAATTTTTTATTATTTTAATCTTCATACCGCATTATATTAATTAATACATTTGTTTATCATATAGTTGATATTCACATATGTTAATTTTTTTTTCTCAACTGGAAACTGTTACGCAAAAAATACGCTTACGCATAAAATTTCTTGGTAATGTTCTAATATTTTGCAAATGAAAAATTATTAAAATTCAAAAATAAAAAATAATAATTACATTAAAAATGAGAAAGAAGTTATTGAAAATGAGTTCTTTAAAAAAATATGTTTAATAAAATTTTTAAAAGATATTTTAAATTTTAAAATTTTAAAATATTAGATTTTAAAATTTGTAAAATATGTTGATTAAAAAATAGCAATTTTTAAATATTCTGATTAAAACTAATCATTACATAATTATAATTTTCTTGATCGATAAAAATACAATTAATTTAAACTAGGAAAATATTCTATTTAATGAAATCAGTGTCAAGTGTATTTCCAGGAAATACAACGTCATCATTACGCTCGTATTCTATACAAATGCATAGTCGAATAAGCAAAAGGAATATCTATACTGTAGATTTACACGTACGAAAATAACCTTTACAGGATTTCATTCTTTGCAAATTCGCAGTGGTTGCTTGGTTACAAGCGACATGAATCATCAAGACAAACGCATTATATTTGATAATATTCATTGGCACGATTCATATGACTTGTATAATTGTATGAAAATAATAACAATGTTTGGCGGTCTATTTTCATGTTTTCTGGCATATTCTCATGCGCAAAGAATTCTTCTCGCGATCGTTTACAAAGATTAGAAATTGCAGTTTGGCGCTGACACTAGAATTACTATATACTAGAACAATCGAAATTAATGATTTTTTACAAAGATTATTAGTACAATTGTATAGTTTATGTCAAGATAAAAATAAATTTATCTATTTTATATTTCTATTTATATTTACATATTTCCATATTTTATATTTATTATTTAACTTAATTATGAAAGTCAATTCAATAGTAAATGAGGAATCGTATTAATTTCACAGTCTGTTGCTGTCATTTGCAGCATGGCAACCAAGTATTTGACTTAATTAAAAAACTCATAAAATTATGTGGCATGAACACGTTGATTCAGCAGAATGAGCTCTTCCTTGTTAACTTTTCTGTTTCTTCTGAGATTAAAATTTCATTTTTCTTATGATTCACTATAGAAGTTATCTAACAATAATTTAAATCAAAAATTTACCGAATCTTAATTTTTGAAACGAAATCGTGTTGAGGTTATGTTCTGACATGGGATACAAAAGTTATATTTCTTTCATTTTCCTCATTCATTTTTATTATTAGTTTGTTTTTCTTCAATAATAATCGATAAAATGTTGAAAGCTTATCTAAACAAGAGGTTTCTAATAATGTTTTGAAGTCTATAAGTTCTCTGCAAATATACAAACATAGATTATGAAACAGAAGAAAATATTAAGTGAAATAACTTTTTTTTCTGATAAAAGTTTCAATTAAAAAGTACTTTTTTTTTCTAAATTTATTTATAATTCTTATATGTTATTTTAAAAAATATTTTAATTTTTATTTTAAAACAAAAATAATTTATTTTGATTTTAAATATTAGATAGAAATTTTTTAAGATCTTTTACATATTTAGTGGATTCAATGAATATATTTCAAATGTAGTATCATACTTTGGTAGTATCATACCAATTAGTAGAGAAAACGGTGATATAAATATTTATTTAAATAATTTACATACAATAATAATACATTTACACATATTTAATGTATAAATAAAAGTATTTATAAAAGAATATAATTAGTACAAAATAAAATAAAAAAAATAATAGATTGATATAGAATATTCATGAATCACATCATATTACTATATTTCTGTTTTCGATAAATTTTATTCTAACATTAAAAAGAATTCTCTATAATTGACAATAAAAAAATACTAATTAAATATTAAAATATTCTTTATCTATATCAAAATAAAATAAATAAAATATAATCCAAATTTTGTCAATTTTTCTTATTGTATTTTGTGTCAGTTATTTTTTACTGTATATTTTATATTTTATCGATATTATCGAGAAATCGTATTTATATATTTGTGTTAACTATAGCTTATCGATACTCGGCGTACTACTCGTTTCTTATACGAGACATCGAGTTGTAACTCGAGAGCGTTCTTCTTTTCACTGTGAACTTCACTAATAAATTTCAAAACGATATGAAAGGCAGAGAACCACTGTCAGCAGACAGTTGCTAGGTGTGTTACTATTCTCGGTCGGAGGCATTCCGATAAACTGTGTGCCAAATCTTGGCTCAACATTGGATGAACAACGTTCAAATCTGAGGGCAAAATCCTAGATTTCTCTGACCATTTTTACTTTACTTTCTTTTCTAATGTATATACATATGTTGTCGAAGTATACCGCTTCGGGAAGCCATTATGCGACCACTGCAGTCAGTGTCGTGTAAACATTGCATCATTGCATCATGAACAATTGTACTCGTTCAAGTAATTAATTGATAATATTTCTGATTATTTTATTATACTTATATCTATATTAAATAAAATACTAAATAAGAATCGAAATAAATTTCATAATTATAAATATGTATATATTTGACTCGAGTAGTAACAAAATGTCGATTAATTGTATTAAATTTTATTTATTTCTTTACATACATAAATACATGGACATGTGTTAAACGTTTCATCATTTTACATTTTAGAGATAAGATTTTAGGATTTACTTTTCTTATCATTAGTTATGTCATTTAGATTAGTAATTTATATCTATGCGTTTTCCATATTTTCAAATGGTTAATAAATTTGAATTAAATTGTAAGTTTGAATTTAATTTGTTTTACGATATTATCAATAATATTTTCAAATATTTATTGTAATTAACAAAATTTATAATACAATAACAAAATATAATACAATAATTTTATATATCCATAATTATTTTTATTTGCATATATGTTTAACTTTTTAAAAAAAATTTATAATTTATAATTAAATTGAAAAATTATAACAAATTTTGATTTGCACTTTCTTATTTATTTATATATAGCTAATCGACAGTGCATCGAAGAACACAAGAACACATGTGCATCTTATATTGTTGCTTTCTGTCCACCTGGTACGCTGACATCACATTCAGGAGCCAAAGGTTCAATGACCTTAACAACTGACGAGTAGTTCTTACTCACAGAAAGCTACTTTTGTTGTTCTCTTTTCACCCGCCTACCATAGATGTGTGTCGCTTCATTGCGGCTTACGTAAAACATTCGTTGGATATTTTTAGCTTTATAGACAAACCAATGTCTTGTTCCGTATTTCCGAGACACAAGCAGGAAACGAGCGTAACTCTTTCCTCTGATAATTTTCTATCCATCGGAAAATACATAATTGCCTAGTCAAATGAATGAAATACGAAATGCTGTAATACTTCATAAACATATATTATTATAATGATCCATCATAGAATTTGTTTAAGATAATTAATATTAGCAAAGGAATTAAATACTTTTATATGTATATATTGATTATAAGAATATTATATAATTGAAGTTAGAAATATTCATAATTAATAGAAGAATATTATATAATTGAAGTTAGAAAATTTTCATAATAAATATATAAAAGTTTAAAACTATTGATAACAATCGTTAAGAAAATTTGTAATTAAAAATATTTTCTTTTCTTAATGAATTTAAATGATCAAATATTAAAATTTCCTTAAATAAATATAATCTTTTTATAAGTATAAATTTTTTCAAAACAACATAAATGTACACAAATGTACACAGTATGAAAAAAATATTTACATAAAAATATTTACATATCAAATGAATAAAATATTAATAGAAATGAATAAAACATTGACAACATTAAAAAGTAATAATCATGTAGGTGTTTTTTTATAGTAGTTTATTATTTTATAACAGTTAATTGATATTTAACTCTTACGTAATGAAATGTAAGCATACAAAATACTATTCTTAATCTATGTGTTAAACCCGTATTCTCATAGGTTTTAAAGTCAAACATGAAAAGGAGGTTGATGTAAGTATCGATCTTCAAACGAAGAATCTATGTTTACGACTATATAGACATGCGTCCTAGTCTCGACCTAAATAATTATACACGCAATATCCAGAAATATAAACAAATATAGATATTTTAAGACAATTAAATCGATTAGAGTATTACCGAAGATTGCAATTGTTATAAAAATATATTTCTTTTATAGATAACTCCATGTAATACACCGGCTACACCACCAAATTTCCCTGATGCACTTTTAGCGTTTTCCAAAATGTCTGCGGGCGACAAAACTCCTTCGGGTAAATTTCATTTAACATATATTTTAATAAATATTTATTATTAAAAAAATATTTTCATATAATTTTTTTCTTAAATCTTTTTCTCTCTAAATTTAAACGATTCATTTTCTTCATTATTATGTTTTCCCACTAACGAGAATTATTTCTATCAGCAATGTATACATTAATGAATTCACAAGAATGTAAAGATACATTCTTATGTCGCAAATCTTTGTTATTTTATAATTACACTCTTGTTTTATGTCTCATTTATGCATGCATATGTAAATTAAAGGATAAATTCATTTTTATCATTATTCATTTTTATCATATTTTATTAGGAATGTCGCCAAGTCAAAATGGATTGCATCAGAATTCGATGCAGATTGGGATGGCGCCGCAACACCATGGAGGACGGTGTAGTGTAACCGGGAATGCGCAACAGCAAACACAGAGTCAACAATTGGGCCTAGGCGAACCGCAGAGATAAAAGAAACTCGTGATTCGGCGGCCCGTGTGTAAGATCCCGAGGTCGCACGATGTGCATGTAAACGGTGTTTAAAACAGGAAGCATGGTTTATAAAAGATCGACTGGCTCCCCAGGATTATACGCTGTGTAACCACAAGAGCGATTATTAGCCGAGATTCACACGCTCGTATCTCCTTATCCCTAGAAAAAGGACGCAAGATTTTCTGAAAAATTGTGTGCACGGAGGAAAATTCAAATAATTATTTAGACGTGCACCTAGAAGAAACGAGATCTCTCCATAGAAAAGGGATCCTCATCTTTCATCGACTATAATACGGTATATATGGAATTTCTAGAATAGGGTACGATACGATTCCTCTGTTGTTTATTCTTGTTATTCTTTGATATATGTTGTATATTGAAAACGCAAGACGATCGAGCCTGTTGAAACATCTCGCAAGAAAAAAAAAAAAAAAAAAAGCTCTTGTCTTCTTCCATTGGATTATTCTGAGTGATACACATTAAAAAAAAAAGAAAAAAAAAAAAAAAAAAAAAAAAAGAGAAAAGAACACAAGAAAGAGGAAGTTTGCAAAGAGATTATTTCTTTTTTCTCTCTCTCCTTTTTAAAAACTGTACTTCTGGGACGGTAGTTCCTATGGTTATGAAAGACAGCGATACTCTCCTTAGCGTTTATGAAATTAGTATGCGTCCAGAAATGCCGCTTGTTGTAAATGAGTAGCGAGAAGCCTCCTCCACCGTCCCGGGTATCTTCCTTGTTGTTTCTCGATCTACAGAACTCGCGGTTAGATAGGAAACATTTGCGGTTCATGGGACCGCTGAAGTCAATGAGAAATCGAATATCACTTCCACACCATAGTACAAAAAATTGCCGACACTGGATAGCATTTAGCGACGAATTTTAATTTTTTTTTTTTTTTTTTTTTTTTTTTTTTTTTTTTTTTTTTTTTTCCACAATTGAGGGACATAATCAATGTAATTTGATTTTAGTTAACTACGAGTTGAAAAATATTATCTTACTCGTATTTCTTGTCATCTGTTATTTTTTGATGACAATCTTGATGATGACTTGATCCAGTGATTTTGTATAAAAATCTGATTTTGTCGGCACTGTTTTGTAATAATAATAATAATAAAGATATAAGTCTAATAAAAGGCAAAAAAAAAAAAAAAAATTGTTCATGCTCAACGCGAAACGAGTAATGGATAAAAAATACGAGGCTATTATAATGAATGCGAAATTACGATGAATTATTATGTAAAAAATTGTAAAAAGAAATTTACTGATTATGTAATGTCCACTAAGTATTTATGTAAAGTGATTTGAAGAACTATACTATACATTTTTTAGAAATCATTCATACGGAGAAATCACTTGCTCAGATAGTATCCAGTGTAGGTCATTTTTTTTCTACGAGAAAAAAAGCAGTGGAGCCATATTAGCTGAGCTGTTTCATCGTCAATTCAATTTACACATAGGAAAACAAATAGAGATTTCGTACTCTTCTTCACATGTAAATGATTTAATCATAGATTTCGTATTATTCGCAGAAATTCTTATACAACAGCTTATTGTAATTTACCTAACCAGTATATAATAAAACTGTTTTCCATTCATTCTTATACATACATCGATAATCGATGATGTGACACCTGAAGCTTATTTTCATTTTCGATTCGACGATCTTTCACACAAAACAATCTATTTATTTTCATGACACGTCTTATATCGATTCATATTTAGTTTCAAACAAATGAAAGACATTTTATTATTTGAATAAATAATATAGAAACTTAAAATATATTAGAAAGTTGCAGATTTCATTGCAATTAATAAATAATAAAATTAATCTCGAAAGAAAAGAGACATGATCAGTATAATCAAATTTTCAGAGATGGAATAGTTCAAGTTTTCGAGTTTCGCTGCAGCTTCATCACTGTGCATTCATTTGTGTAAATACGATAGAAATGATGTTATATGAAAATTGAGTATGATGAAACGTTTTTCTGTAAGGTATACGCTTTAATGTCTTTTTTGTGTTTGTAACGTATAGATCAGTGTCCCGTGATATATTATAGTTTATATGTTATATTTTGTTTTTGTGACCTGATCATGAAATATGTATGATGTATTAAAATTTGTACTGGCGTGACATGATATTTTTAGAAAAATGTTATTCATATTAATTATATAGAAATTTTAGAACACTGATCTAAACAAATTATGAAAATACTATTATGTTAAAGCTATTATTATTATTATTATTATTATTATTATTGTTTATATTTGACTATCAATAATAATAAATAATGTTTATGTACATAATTTTGAAAAAAATGATTTAAATAAAACATTAATAATGGTGCTTTCATAGACTTTTTATGTAATTTTTATGTAATTCTTATTCATGCGCGTGCATACCTTTGTACTTCAGACTTGAAAAGAAACAATTCGCTTGTAAATTTCGGTATTAACATATATACATGTAATAAAATGATCAATAATGAATGTAAATACAAGCGATGTGATTTGAATGTTTGCATTGCTACATAAATTACGACTTTAAATCTATGCAATGAGACTTTCCGTTATAATAAAAATGACATTTTTATCACATTACAAAATATCATAATGTCAATTAGTAATAATTTCATAAAATATTAATGTACAATTTCGTATCTCTATATGCAACACTGCTTGTTACATTATTTATATCAGTAGTTATAGAAATGAGTGATATATATATATATATATATACAATATATTTAGTACATAGTATTTGTAAAAAAATTGAAAATCTCACTATTTAGAAGTTATATTTTTTTATGTTTCTACGCCTCTTCCTAAACCAGACCATCTGTCTGGTACTGGTAAGAAATATCGGTGCATAGCAGCTATAAAACGAGCTCGATATTCTTCAGGTGATATTATTGTTGGCAATTTTCCCTGGCCACCTAATATACCTGATTTCTTCACCATTGTTTCTAATTTTTTATCCCAAGTAAACGTCCTTATATAATCTATAATTATATAATATATATAAAAATATCATATCTAAAAATATAATTTTCTAAACTTACCTATTATACCTAAAACGAGTTCATCCGAGTTTGGTTCTAAACCAACTAATAATGAATAATCCATTACAGAATTATCAGCCAGGAATTTAGTATCTTGTTCAATGGCTTTATTTAAAACTGCTTTGGAATGTGATCTAATATAGAGCGGTGAATCGCAACTCACTAAAAATATATATCTTATATTTAATTCAGAAATTTTTATATAAAAATTAAAATTAAAAATTATTAATAATTATATATAATATAACTTACTATTTAACAAATTTTCATCAAGTAATACAAGTTCTCCTTCGTGACACATATCATCGGGATTTACAAGTCGATTTCTTACCGATCCCTTTAAATCAAATTTATCCGTTATTGCTCTCTTGTAAAATAAATTTTCCATTACTAATACGCTAGTTCGAAGTGCTGCATTTGTTGTATTATTTTTGAAAGATACTCGATAAACACCGACTATCTTTCCCAACAATGTTGGTTGCTTAGTTTGTTGACATTTTTCCATATAAGAGAAATAATTCGGTGCAAATTCAAGAAATATTTGCATTTCTAATCTAGACATCTCTTTTATAATAAACCTGTCATCTGCAACAAAAAAAATGTGTTGACAAATGATATAAATAATACATTAGAAATTTCATTTTGTATACATAATTCATTACATATATGTAAATATATATTCATACAATTTGGTACCTCGAGTTTTACAGAAAGTACTTCCACTTTTACCACCTCTTGCAGCCCATTGTACACTCCGACTTAAACTTCTTGTAAAACCATCTTCTCCACATGGTAAAACATTTTCTCTAAAAGCAGCAAATTGCGCAGCAAAATATATTCTGCAATAGAAATTTGTCGTTACATCATTAAATTGAACTTCAATGTAATTCTGCTGCTTTGTTATTTTCTTATCTTCATCTATTTCTGTAGTCATTGATGGATTTTGTATACAAGAATCTATATTTGAAATGCTTTTATCGGAATCTAAAGGACTCGTAGGATTTGGACTATTTCCTCGGAAAAATGATAAAACGGACGGTCGCTTAAATTCTCCAGATTGTGTGACATCAGGAAAATTTTCTTTATTTTCAGGAAATTTACGTTTGTTTAAAGGACTGGGATTTAAATCCGGACCTTTTATGGTACGCGTTAATTCATGAAGTGCATGTTTATAATCATGCGAATCTAATGCATATGCAATTATAGATGATGGCTCTGTTTCATATACTACTATAGGTACAACTGATCTGTAAAACAAAAAATATTTTAGTATATTAATTAATTGTATATAAATATCTCTAATATATCACATACACAGAAAAGTTTTAATATAATTAACAAACCCAAGAGGAAGTAAATGATGTTCCAAAATTCCTAAAGGATTTGGTATTGGTTGGGTAACAGGAACAGAAGGCAATAATTGTGACAAAATAGTTTTTTTCTTTTTCTTCTTATCTGGCATATCATCAAAAGTGATAGGTAAAACATCAGAATGTGATCTCTGATGCATTTTTGGAGAACCTTGGACAACAACAATATCTTCGGGATTACTTTCTAAAATTTCATTGTCTGAATTTTCTATGCCTTCTGTCCCTTGTAAATCATTTTGTACAGCAGCAATGGCATCTATAGCATTATAATCTGCTGACATAGGACTTAAATCTTCTAATTGTGATTCTGATGCAGTATCTTCTGTTATATATCCATCTGTATCGATAATGCTATTACTTCCAGTCGTTAATGATCGTTCGGTAAATCGCCTTGGTCTTTCATCTTTCTTTTTAACAGACATTTCTAAAATTTTTGCATTCCAAGTGTATACAACTTCTGATATTAATCGTTTAAGAATTACTATTCCATCTTCAATTCTAAACATCAGAGCTTGAACTTGTTTTTCAGATACTTTTCCTTCAAGTTTTTTATTTTCTAAAGTGGGAGACGTCAATTTTAATTGTATTTCTTCTATCTTGTTTTTGAAATATTGTTGATCTTTTGTTAATTGCTGTTTAGCAGCATTTAAAATATCCATATCTGTTTGTAAAGTTGTTAATTTTTCTCGTATACAGGAGAACACTTCATCTCCTTTTAATGCTAAACTTTTCATTTCTTCTATCACATCTGCATGTTGCTTTGGATCATACATGATATTTATTAAAGGAGGTGGTAGTGAAATTTCCCATTGCGATATTTTCGTATACTTAAATACAGCCAGCATATTTTTTTTTGTGAAATACTGATAATGATCATGATGAAGCGAGTGTTGACAAGTATCTGTACCACGTCTAGTATATGCATTTCCATGAAAACGTAATTCCAAGTACTTTGCAAAAGACAAAGACCAAGTATCATCAGACATTGGTACCACAGGTGAAACACTTTTACATTTCATACATTTGCTCCACATTAAAATTTGATTCGTATTTTCTTGAGAAAACGGTTCAGAGTTCATTTCGCTTAAACTAATATGTATGCATCCACCGTCATGTGCGAATCGCCGAACATGATGAGCAATCTGTGCTCGACATGCTTGAGCAGGACATTTATATTCAGATGTTAAACAATAACGTTCTAAGAAACGTCCAAGTGCGATATCATTTCTTCCGTATAAGTCCATATTAACTACCCAAGGATTTACACAAAATGCTGGTGTATCATTATTACCAGTATGCGAAAAACTACAAAATAACACAGATAAACGTTGGTGACTAGTAGGATCTAAGCAATCAGGCCACATTGGAGATTGTTCATTTACCTCTGATTGCATTAAAATTTGTTTATCTGATAAAACATTATTGGTTGGATATAATCGACTACCGCATGCTCTAAAATTGGCTAATAAAGCTTGTACTTCTCGACTATCTACGTCTGTAGTTAATTTTGCTTGAACAAATGGATGTTGCGGTTTTAATTTTAATTTCATTAGTGGATTTTCAGTTACAGATTGTTCTACAGATACATTATTCGTTTTAATCTCTTTTATTTTATCTACGAACTGTATGGAATAAAAGATTTCTCTTGGAAAAAAGCTTCGTAATATGCAATTCCTTCCTGTTTCAGTTTCTAAATAAGGTATAGAAAATTTTAAATAAGGTGAAATACTTAATATAGTACCTTCTAATGCTTTCTTAAATTTATTTAATAATGGTAAATCAGCAACGCTTAAATGTTGACCATTTGGACTAGTTTGACTAAAAACATCTTCTTCATTTTCATTTAAATATTGATGTAAAGGATCACTATGATCACTAATAGATTCGCCATATATACGTTTTTCTTCTGAAATGATTTTATCTTTTATTTTTGATTTTTCAACTTCTTCTTTGATATTTTGATTGACTTTTCTATTAATCTTACTACCAAATAATTCCATAGTACTATTTGGATCTTCTTTGTCCTCTATGTCAAGATCAGAACTATTATTTAAATTATCATTATTTGATTTATTTATTATATAATCTCCTGCACCTTTTTCATCAACTACAGAAGATTTTGTTTTAGATTTAAATAATTTTAAAGTATCATAAGGATCGGCATCTTCGGATAATATTGACGATATTTGTTTAACAGAATCTGAAGTTAACATATTTTCATTATGATATAAAGCTATGTCTTTTATTGATGAACTTCCATTTTCTGAAAGTTCTATTTCTATACATTCGGAATAATTTAATAGATTTTTAGAATCTTCTTGAACTTCTGATATTTTTAAAATTTCTGTACTATCTGAATAGTCTTTATTATGAATTAATAATAAATCATTTCCATCGTTAGATTTAGTATGTAATATATTATTGGTTTGTTGAAAGTCTTTGAAATCTTTGAACGATGTTTCATCCAAAAATGGATTATCTTTAGAAGATGGCGGTTTTGCAAATTCATCCATAAGAAATGATTTTTCAAGTCGCCAAGAATAAGTAGCAAATATCATCATTGAAGTGACATTTTTTACTTTTTTTAATTCTGCTTGAGAACCGCCTCGTAATAAGATCGTAGCTCCAAGATGTGGATTTGCACATCCCTCAAAATACATCAATGTTTTGATACCATCTGGAAAAAAAAAATAATCAGTTTTATTTCGTTAAAATAAAAATTCAGAAAATTAAATTTTTCATTACTCACTTTTTTCGTTTGAAAAATTTCGCAAATAAAATTTTTTACATGTACCTAGCATGTATCTAGCGCTTATATGTGCATCAATAGTATTTACGATATTAGCACCTGTGCACCGTGCAATTCTTTCAAGCACGCTAAGTTTAACATTTAAAACAAGTGTTACTCCACATTCTCTAAGTCTATCTTGTGCCAATCTTGATACAGAACGATGTACCAGTACAACATCTGGACCAAGAGCGGTGATTCTAGCAACTGTATGCCCTAAATATTCATTTTCCTATAAATAAAAAAATATTTATTGTATTGAAAAAATTAGAACATCATTAAATTTTTTTTCATACTTGTAACATCACAGGTTCTAAACTTAATAATTTTCCCTCTACGCGTTGATACATTAATCCACATTGAAGCAATAAAATTTTTGGATGAGCTATCATTGCATTCATTCCTCTATGTGCAACATTTTTTGTACAAACTACACCAGATACAATCTCACAATCATCTCTATTTCCACCTGAACATTTTTTTATTTGCACGTATTGCCGAATATCTAAATCATCGACATTATGATTTAAATCTGGTCTAACATAGTCAATAATTTGATGAGCAATAGGAAGTATTACTTCTGACCAATTTTGCGATAAACCTTCTTTATTAAGAAGTTGTTTAATTAACGAATCTTCGTGTTGCTTGAATGCAGATCTATATTTAAATAAATTTAAATGAATATAATTGATGAATATAAATAATATAATATGTAATATACATATATATTATTTATTTATATATAATAACTTACATTAAACTTTCATATGCATGAAGTTCTCCAAACGCAGTTCGAAGATTCGTTGGTTTATGCCAACCATTTTTTTCTTTAAATTCTTGTACCTGTAGTGTATCATTATCATTTAAAAGATCATCAGCAATTTTAAAATTACATTTATGTGATTTTACTGTGACTTCTTTTTGTTCAATTATACCATCACTACTATCTACGGAAATTGTAGTTAAATCTTCTGATGTAGGCCTTTTTAATGTAACAGTAGATGCTTCTAAATTTAAATCTAAATAAAAGCTTGAACTAGAAGATGGTAAACGACCAGCTGTTTGTTGCATTGAATTTGAAGGTTTAGTTTCACTTTCTGAATCTAAAATTTTATTTCCATATATATTTGTAATTTTTGCATTTTTGTATTTTATTTCTATGAATTAGTTTATAGAAATATTTTATATATTACCAGTAGTTGAATCATGTTGTGGAATCGTTTTTACCCATGCAGGTTCCTGAGCATCACAAGTATTTTGAGTTTCAGTTAATAAATCAGTACTTTGCATATTAGATAATTTTACTGGTTTAAATACAGTTGCTGTATCACTAAATTCATTATCAGCAAGTACTGGTTCTATAAAACCTGCTTCCAGTAATGCTTGTCCTATAGCAGTAGCTTGTATGCTGTAAAATATTATATTTTAATATTTTTTTTTATATATTTTTTTTAAATTTGTTTTATTTATACCGAGTAGCTGCCTTATTTTGTGCAATCATCCAATTTACTAATTCATTAGCTAAAAAACAATTGTGATAACTTTTCAATCTAATCCTGTGCGTTTGTAAAAGAATTGCTTGACTAGACCTAAATAGCTCTTCATAAATCATCCTCAAAGATGCTGAGTTTTGTAAAACAATAGAACGTTCGTGAGATGTTAAATAACTAGTTGTTGGTCTGAAAAAATATATTTATAGAATAATTATATATTTTATTAATCTCTAAATTATAATAAATTATAACATTTAATTATAAAAATAAAACAAATAAAAATTTAATACCGTCCAATGGCATATTTTTCTTCCATATATCCTACACTTGGTTTTCTACAAATTGAAGTTTCATCCTGTATTGATTCATTTGTACTTTTTTGAGAAATAGGTGGTAAATTATTTCCATATTTAACTTGAAGATCTTCTTGTAATGCTTTTAAATCTGCTGATAGATCACTTCTCATATCCGATGATTGCAAATAAGATAAAACTACTTTACAGCAATATGTACAAACTCTGAGATCACCTATTATAAGAAGTTTGTTATTATTTAACTTACAAAGTAATTAATGAAATTATTCATTTATTATTTATATTTATACCAGTGCATCCCATAATTTTTCCAGGTATCTGATCAGAGCAACATTTTGAGCAAAATATTTGACCACAAACACGACAATGGTGTCTCCTGCGAAATGTTGTAAATCGTTCACCACATTCATAACATTGTTTGCTTACACTATCTGGCATCCAATAACTTCTCAATTGAGAATCTTTGTATGAACGTAAATTCTAAATTAAATTAATATCATTATTATTTTAAATAATTTATATTTTTTAATATATATAACATGTGAAAAATAACTTACATTACTTTTTAAGGCTACAATATTACTAATACGTTTTAATACATTTGGTAAGCTTCTGCCTTCACAAGAATCTAATGGAAAGTTCATCATACTTGAATTGTCATCTTCAGGTGATTTTTCTGTACTTTCTGATTGTTTCCAAGATTCAGAATCAGATGAGCTTTGTTCTTCATTAGTAGAAGAGATTGTGGAATCATCAACATTCTGTGAACCTAAAAATTATATGATATAATTATATACGTTATATATAAATTTATTTTACATTATTAATTTCTATACGTTGATGATAAAATATAAAATAAAATAAATAACAATAATAAATTAGATTTTAAATAATATTATATAATTTTGATTTTATATAATATTTTATATTTAAAAAAGTAAAATGAAATACAATAAATAATAAAGATTTTACCTTTAGTGAAATTAAAAAATTTCGAAAATAAAGAAGCCACACCAGGTTGGCTTTCTTCGGGACTTAACGGAGCGAACTCCGTAAGTTTAGATGGCGAATTCATATTTTTATTCATTTTGCCTAATGTTATCTTTTTATAAACATTTTTAAATAGAACTTTTTACGAAATATTGTTCTCGCATCTGTGTTGACGAGTATATAAGAATAAAATTTTTTGACAGAAACGTCAAATCACAGATGATACCTTGTCCGTGGTCAGCTATTCGTACACGTTACATCGTAATATTTTTACCTTTGCTATAGGTAATGGCATATACTATAGAAATTATCAACAAATTGATATTTCAGTCACAGACTAGATATGACATAGATCGATTATCCAATGCATTTTTGTATTATATACATAGTTCAAGCAGTTTCATAAGCCTTAATATTTGAATATCATTTTTACCGATTCCGGTCAGAATAAGATCTCAACGTTAGTAATGGTTGGAATTGAAATTAAATTTCTGTTTAAATATTGCCATTATCGGATATTATACGGACATAATAATTCAATAATAATTAAAAAAATTGATAAAATACTAATTAATAAAATATTATAAATTATAAATATGAAATTTATTAAATTATAATATTATAAATTATAAATTTAAATTTTATAATTTTATTAAATTATAATATAATTATAAATTATAAATATTATTTATTATAAATTATAAATTATAAATTATTAACATTAAAATATTTGATATTTAAATATTTGTTTGGAATCGATAGACGATTATTTATATCGTTATCGATATATTCGTTTCGACGCTCGACCTTGTCCGCCGAGCTACGATTACCAGGTGGGGAGAGTTTACAAGTTAGTTTCGTTTCCATCGTTGTACTGTTTCGACGTATATTACTTGTGTTCCGTTTTGCGTATAATTTAAAATTACGTATAAATTTCGCTAAGATTTCGTAGTTTTGTTCGTGAGTGTTTTATATATGTTTATTCACAAAAATGAAATATAAATATAACAGCAATCGTGTTTTATTTCCGAGTGTCGATATGGTTTATCGTTATAGACCGAGAATTTGTCGCCATGATGTTATTTACGAACGGTAAGTTGCATATTTTTTCATATACACGACTGGTTTATTTTTTAAATATACAATAGGCACGATAATTATGAAGATTTTCATTCGATTTTTGCCATTGTTCCGATTTTATTCGAAATGCGTTTATCTAACGCGTTTTTGTTGTTTATATACTCATTTCTTTTTTCGTATTATGCTTGAGACAATGAAAATAATATTGCTTATTATATAGCTTTTTCAGAAAATTGACGGTTAGCTTTTATGTTATACTTGATATATTTCGATTTTTTTCGAACTATTGAATATATCTCTAATTTGTAATTCAATAATCAAACTCGCGATGCGAGATGCCATTGTAAAATTGATAATCGTGAGATTTAGACATGTCATTTTTTCTTGAAGTGCGATGTAGTTATTGCGTAGTATTTATTTCCATAGTTATTCTTTATTATTCTAATTATATGTTTCTTATTATAATTGAGAATTTTTTGGTAATAAATTTTTTTTTTATTCATTTATTTGATGGTTATAGATGTTTTATATGTCTCATTATAATTTTCAAAAATCGAATTTATGTTTGATTATTGTTTTACTGTTTTACTATTTTAATCGATTAATTCTATATATTATATAGAATTATATAATGTATATATTATATATTAGATATATTATATAGAATTATATAATATATATATTATATATTATATATATTATATATTTATTTAAAAATTTTTATTTTTCTTTGTTTCTAGATTGTTAGTTGATCTAATTTTGAAGGCGGGAAAGATTCCAATATGGATGTCAAGAAGACGCGATAAAATTTGATATTTTATGATCGTGTGCGTTGTTTTATTAGAATCAGTGTTTATTTCGTAATAATATTTTGAATTTTTTAGAGCATTTATCTATTAAATTTAAATATAAATATATTTCGCGAAATTAGAGTCAGTGTTTATTCGATTATAATATAAACAATAGCATTGGCAGTACAGATTCTTTGCATCTAATGGTGAGTCGCATGCATTTTTATTTTTTGGGTTATTCAGTCATGACATATGATACGAAGAGATTTTAATTGCCAGAAATGATTGATTGTATTAGATTTTTCATAATTATAATGTTCACGAAATAGTAATATTTATTTTTTCTTTATTTTATTAATTAAGGTTAGGATTTTTTATAATTTTTAGATTTAATTATTTGATTCTCACTATAATGGATTCTTGATCAAAATCAATAATAATAGTTTATAAATTTCATTATAAAATCATATGTCAAATAATTAAATCTTATTTAAATTTCATTTTTTCTGTATCTCAGTCGGCAAAAATGATAGTTATCATCATTAAGTTAGATTCACTACAATTCTTAAGCTTGCTAGTTTCAAACATAGAGGGCCTAACGAAACCTTTGTACAATCGATGGGGATAAATATAAGAGGCGATAAATTTATTCCCATCAAAATTATATTTCACATGTATCTATATAATAATATAAGAATTAATAATTTAAAGTAAATAAAAATTATACATATGGATTTTTTAAAGAATTTTTACCAAAAAAAAAAAAGAAAAATGTTTCGGGAAAAATTATTCCTTATAAAACTTAGAAAATTAAATTAAAAAGTAAAAAGTAGAATATTATCGAAATCAGTATTATAAATTGAAAAATTTTTGAATATTCGCACATTTTTCATATAACTATTAACTTTAGAAATGTCAATCATTCAGTCATTTGTAAAGATTGACTCATTAAAATTTTACACGTTAATTGGTTCGTTTATATGTGAAAGGCTAGAAGATTAAAAACGTGTGGAATGCAATAAAATCATAGAGCCGTGTCGAAAAAGAATAAAACGAGATACATATAGGAGAGTGGCCACGAGTAATTCGTAATAAGAATCACGTCGATGTCGACGTAGCTCATCTTCGAAACCCGTAATTACCGGCGCCGGTGGAAAGAACCGAGACTCGGTGAGCAGCCACCTTTTAAAAAGGTGTTAAAGCGTGCCGCGAGCGTGGTTGGCTAGACGTTAATTTAAAACAAACCAAAGGATAGCCGCGATTCGAAATCTAAGAAGCGTTAGGCCATTTTATATTCTGACCCAAGACACATTTCGGTCTCGTTGAATCGGTTCAGTAACGTATCAAAGATATGGGCGAGACATTACATTTTATAGTACGACGAACAAAAATTTCCATTTATATCTCGAAAAATTTCCTCTTTTTCATAAGAGAGATTTAAATCGCCTCGATATATCTTTCGATCCAAAACGCGTAGAAAAATAAAAATTTATATTTCGTTGTATACTTTATTCATTCGAGATTATCCAACGTAATTTTAGTTTTTAAATATTTAACAAACATGCTTTTAAATATTTAACAGTTTAACAATTTGGTATATAACGCAATATAAAAAAACTTTACAAAATTTAACGAAAGGGTTCTCCGATCTCTCGTGACGACGTTGTAACCGAAGATTTGCTACCTACCTTGTAATCAACAAGATTTTTAGCAATTTTTTTTTACAACAACCTCCGAGATAAAATCCTGGATCCTCCTTTCTTTTACACCTTTACCTTCACCTTCCCCCCCCCTCCTTTTTTTAAAATTCTTCTACGATTAGTTAACTACGAAGAATTTGTCGATACACTTTCAACCAATATTTTTAATTATTATAAAACCGTCAGATAATTATACAATCACTCTTATATATTGGTTTCCAATATTGGACAATAACGTGGACGAAAAATGATCGTAAGATTCGATCTATATGCTCGGTCGAAGGATGCGCATGGGCCAAACGTTAACGAGACAGCTCTGGAGGCTCATTAAGGTCCCGCTTTATCACGATCGGGGCAACGATATATGTAACGGCGAAAGGTCTGTTTTCCAAATTGAAAACAGCGCTCGCTCGTTATCGTGGCCGCCGATCTACGATGTATCTCCGCTCTCCCCCTAATCGCCAAAGTTAAAGGCGCCAAGTATCGCGATCTGCGATCTATCGATCTTCCAAATTAGCATCCAGAACCGTGAATCTTTTTTCTTAATCCCGCAGGGGTCCTAATTTTTCGAGTAACTTTTCTTTTCCCTACAAGCGAGCCGATTTTCATCGAATATATCGATATATATATCGATATATCGATTACAATTTCTTCTTAATTTTTCTTTTTTACTATTATTTGTTATTTGGAAAATCAAGGTGTACGCGAATAACGAAGGAAAATTTAGATTGGACAGGATCTCTTCGAGAGTATTCTTTATTTTAACAACACGAGTTAATACGAGTTACAACAATCTTAAAGTGTGAATCGATATTATTTAAAATTGGCGGACAAAAATGGATATGGCGATTATTCGAGCGGCGAATGAATGAAAATGAAGGAAGAAAAATTAGAGAGGGGAGGGGATAGTTGTAGGGTGAATTTCTTTTTTTTTTTTTGTTTGGGAAGGAAGACGCGTGGCCATATTTTACAAGCGGGGGCGTGAAACGGATAATTTCGAGAGGAGGGAGAGAGCGATATCCGATCGTATATCAGAGCGTGGAATAGCCGGTCGCCTTCAAATTATCGGAAACAAGGGCGAAACTAATGGGCCAACTCGGGCCATCTGGCTCCGAGTAAGGCCGCCCGATTCCACGCCAATTCGATCACTGTTTTCACGCCTCGCAAAAGAATCATTGCCAACGCGCGTGTAATTTTTCCTTTTTTCTTTTTTTTTTTTTTTTTTATTTGGTCGAGTTTAGATCTTAAATAAGGAAATTCGTCAATATTTTTCAATTCGATCATTTGTTTCACGCCTCGCAAAAGAATCGTTACCAACGCACATAATTTTTCCTTTTTTCTTTTTATTTAGTCAAGTTTCGATTTTAAATAAGAAAATTTGTAAAAATTTCTAATTCCATCACTGTTTTCATGCCTCGCAAAAGAATTTTTCCTTTCTTTTTTTTTTTATTTATATTTTTTTTTTTTTATATTTTTTTTTTATAGTTCAATTTTAAATAAGAAAATTCGTCAAAATTTCTAATTCGATCACTGTTTTTTTGCTTCGCAAAAGAATCGTTTCCAACGCATGTAATTTTTCCTTTTTTCTTTTTATTTGGTCGAGTTTCGATTTTAAATAAGAAAATTCGTCAAAATTTTTCAATTCGATCATTCTTTTGACTTCTCGCAAAAGAATCATTGCCCATAAATCATTGCGCGTATAATTTTTCCTTTTTCCTTTTTATTCGATCGAGTAGTTGACCTTAAATAACGACTAAATTCTCGAAAAATTTTTCAATTTTTCAAAAAAGGAAATTTTTCTCGAGAGCAGCATTCCGTACGTACATGTCCGCCTTTAATTTTCCAAGAATCCAAATAAATGGAGAAACGTTTTATTTCTCTACAAGAAATTCACAATTGACAAATTCTTAGTCATCGCGCAGAATAATCGTAAATTAAAAATTCTGAAAAACCGAAATTCTGAAAATATCAATTCGTTAAATCAAAAACGGGTTACTTGTATTTAAAATCGTTCATACTATAATTCACGATTCTCTTTCGAACTGACTCGCGTAAGCGAGAGTCGTTTTTACACGGTGATTAGAAACGCTCGTTAAAGAAGTTTAATCGCTGCAATTACGACACGTTCGATCGACACATCCATCAAAGCGAGAGAAGTCGGTCACGGTATGTATACGATCTTATTTCATTCCAGCCGTTAGAAAAATAATTTAACACAACGCGTGGACGAAGGAATATAAATAAACTTTTGTTAATTTAATTTTAAAACAAATTTTATATTTTATATAGAATTACGAGGATTAACTCTCTATTGTGTGAATTTTTTATTATGAAAAAAATATATACCTAAAAACAAGCGTGATCACGAAATAAATAATAACAGCATTCTTATTTATTTTTAAAACATTGACGGATGAATTTTGCGGGAATATCTTTGAAATTTAAATTTATATTGCGAAAAATGGAATACAATAGAGGATTAATAGATGTATCTTTTCTTATATTGTCGCTTGCATCCCTAATAATATCTTTTAATCGAGGTGACGCAGGAACAGTAATTAGATCTATCCATTACTTCTTCGAAATTATTTCTTTTAATTTGCATAGAGTTTCTACGACAAATTAAAGATAAAGATTGAATATATATATATATATATATATATATATATGTAATAAAAATATAATTATATATAATTAATAATATTAATTAATAATATTATATAATATAATATTATATAATAATAATAATAATATATGTATAATTAATAATATTAAATAATGTTAATAATAATTTCAAGAAAAAGCGAACGAATTTCAAACCTACTTTCTTTCATTTATCGTGGAGGCAAAGTCGAACTTTTCCTGTGATGAACGATCGTAAAATAAATATAGAAAAACATGTAAATATTTATTGTAATTTATTTTATTATAAATTTGAAAATTAGTCGGTGTCGCTGATTACGAAATTCTTGAGTTGTTTAAAGGACACATAACGGTCGTAATATTCGTTTAATTTTTTATTCTTTAATAGCTATAACAATTTTTTTAGTTAAGGGAGTAAATGGAGAATTAATAATAGGGCGATTTTCTAAACGAGACGTTCTACGTCCCCTCTCCGCGATTTTCAATTATTCTCCCACCAAAGGGAATTGCCAACGAAGCCCCAGGCCGAGTTCTCGCAAATTGTTCCCGCGATCGCGTCTCGAACCGGCATCGTCAATATTCTAAAGTTCACGTCGGTGTAATTCAACGTTGACAACAAGAAAACTGGCATTCTGTCCGATATGATCCACAATAGACCACGATTTATCTGGAAAAAAAAAAATAAAAAATTTATTTCTCGAGAAGAGTGGGAAATTGCGAAAGCAAATTTTGAGAATTTTTTTTAAAGTAAAAGTTGAAATGCATGAATTAAAAATGCAGGAAATAACAATTTTAACAAACAATTTAGAAACAAAAAAATGAAAGAAGAAGAAAAAAAAATCTGTTGAAAGTAAAAACGGAAA